CTCTTCCCCCTCTCCATCTCCCTCCAGGCAGGGCTGGGGCTTTCCCACCCTTTTTGCAATCAACTCTTGCAGGCTGGAACTCAGCCAGCCTGAAGACCTCTTTCCAAAAGGGGGAAATCCATGAGTTTCTCTGCTAAAAGGGGAAATCCATGGGTTTCTCTGATAAAAATGGGAAATCTGTGGTTTTCTCCATTTTTTTCTGCGGGGAATGGAAAACCCAGATCTCTGGTGATTAAACAGGTGTATTTGGCAAAACCAAGTGGGATACATATTTGAAATCCACAGAATTCATTGTCCTGACTGGGAGAGCCCTCAACCCCTGTCTGTGCTTGAAAAACAACCATTTAAATCTCGTGTGCAGAGAGATCATTCAGTGTAATCCAAAGATAACAACATTCAAAATCAGACTTCCTATTTCATCCCTGAAGAACAGGCTTCAAAATCACCTATTCCTGAGAGTGATTAAACTTCAGCTGATATTTGCTTCTCATTCTCCTGCACTGGAAACAAATGTATTTAATTTATTACCAGTAAACAGTCCTGAGGCTGGATCTATGAAGCGTTGCTGACTTCTCTCAATTGTAGTAAGTCCCACGATAGTTTAGTGATTTCTTATAACTCCAGATTTTAGAATTTTTTTTTTTTAAGATAGACATCTTTCCAAAAAAAAAATGTTCCTGGCCCTGGTGATTGCAGAAGAAAGCTTTAAAATGGAACTCAAGTCTTCCCTAAATATGTATGTGTATTTAAATTTTGTGGGTTTTGAGAGGTGTTTCTCCTGAATTGTGTGTGGACTGATTCATGATTTTTGGAATATTTGGAGTTGACAAGATTGCTCCCACTACTTAAGCAGAAACAGTGATAGGCTAAAATAGGGCTCTCCAGTTTACATGTGGCCAGGGATTGTACATGGCATCTGTTGTGTACTGCCATACTGCCCAGCCCTTTGGGATTCTCCCTGCACTACACAGGTAGCACTGGTGGTGGCACACAGTCCCCTCTGAAAACCAATCCATGGATCCTCCCCTGCCATAGGAAGGTTGCACAGACCTCTGCATGTGGCCTCTCACCTAGGTCCTCCCATAATGCACAGCAGTGGGAAAGGCAGCTGCAGGAGCCCAAGGGCCACATGCGGCCCACAAGCCACCGACTGAACTGCCCTGTGCTAGGGGGTTATTTTAACTTATCAGGGTAATTTTATTCTCTCTATTTTGTAAAGAAAAATTGTTACTATGTTTTTCTTCTTTGGCTCCCACTATACCCCCCCCCCCCCCCCCCCCGCCTACTGCTAATTAATATCAACCCTAAGTGCAACTGAACAGCATATATAGTTCATTGGAACTGTTGGCAGACAATCTGTGTTTGAAATTTAAGCAGCTCATTGCCATCAGAAACAGATACTTTCTATTAAAAAATGACTTTACCTGATTCATGAAATACTCTTCCCCTGTACTTAATAAGATAAAGATCCTGCAAGGGATAAAGATTATTGTGTAGCTAATGAATATAATTTGCACAGATACTGAGACAGAAAACAGGTTGTCCAGACAACATTAGTTTGGTATTTTCTGATTATTGTGTGTTCTAACCTTAATATATTTAATATTAGTAATTAAAAATAGTTATTTTAGTGAAATTCACTCAGTTTAAATATTTACGCATAGACGTTGAATTAAATTATTTCAGCTATATTTAAAAATACTTTTAACTTGCAATTGGAATACAGTTGCATTCAATGCTAGCTACCTAAGTACAATGCTAGCTAGCCAAAGCAGAAGTATTTTGTGTACCATGATTTTTAGAGAGATTCACTTACAAAGAATCTTAATATTAGAAAATATTTCTTCTGTTAGACATGCATGAAATATTGCCTGAAAATAGCTCCACACTGCTGTGAGGAAACAGCACATTGAAGTATTGTCTAATGCTAAATAATATGGTTAGCATAATGAAAGCTCTAATGAACTTGGGTCTTGCTAAAACTGGGCACCCTGTAACTGCTAATAACAGAGGTTCCCAAAAGTAGGAACAGCATACCTTTATCAAATTTCAGAATTTCTCATAGACCATCATGCCACCTTGTCATCACATGCTTAATGAGCACCACTGTAAAGGCCCATAGTCCCTGGCAGGGTTGCCACTCCAAGATTTTTTTTTTTTTTTTTTACTGACAATCTGCAAACATCTTAGTAACACCATTTTTAACTGATGTATGTTTTATATAATGAAAATATAACCCTGCTACCAGGCCCTGAACAAGGGCCAGGTTCCCTCTACATAGTAAAGTTTTGGTCAGCAAAAAGTTTGCAGATTACCATTAAAAATATATGTTGAGGGGGTGATAACCCTGCTGGACCGCAGCATCAATTTTATGCTGTGCTGCTCCTACCTGGAGTCCCATACTCATCCCAAACCCTGATCCCTCCTGACCACATTCCACACCAGAAGTGGGCAAAGTCTGGCCTGCGGGCCTATGCCAGACTCCATTTCCCAGCAGCTCCTGCTGTGGCTAGTTTCCATGTAGGCCCTAGCAGCAGTGGTGCCACCACAGTGTGGGGCTAGGATTTCCATGGAAACCAGCTGCAGCAGCACTGGCAGGGAGCTGCTCTGGTGACAGCAGGGGCAGAGCTGCAGTCCACTGATGCATGGCCTAGGCAGGGGTGTGCAGGCAGCAGATTGCAGCTGTGCCCCAGCCCTGGACCACACTGTCACCACTGCAAGATCCTAGCTCAGGCCACGGAGCAGCTCCCTGCACAGCCCTGGGTCCTGCCAGCGCTGGTCTCCGTGGAAACCCTGGCCCCACGCTGTCATGGCACTGGTGCTGCTGGGGTCTCCATGGAAACTGGCCAGAGTGACATGGGAAGGGGCTGCTGGGCAATGGAGTCCAGCTGCTGGCCAGCTCTGCCATTTCGCCCACACCCTGCTGGCCCCCAACCCACCCCCAGCCTGAGCCTCCAACCCGCTCCACTCCCACCCTGCCCCGATCCTGGCGCAGACACCAAAAGGACTACTGTGCATCTCCCTGCAGCCCAGCAGCTATAGGGATGCAGCAGGAGCAGGTGGCTGGGGACAGAGGGAGCTATCGAAGTTCCCATTGGCTAGAAATCCCTGAGAAAACGCTGCCTGCACAGGCACCACCAGCACTACTCTGCTGCTTTCAGACTTGACTCCAGCTTCTTTCTGCACAGGGATCTTCAATCAGGCTCCGGCTCGCTCGCTTCTACAGACGCTCTGTTTTACAGGTAGGCAGGTTTTGCCCTTTTTCGTACAGCCGGCCTCCACCTGCCTGTACAGACAGTTGCCCACCCTGGTCTGCACCTCTTTCATGTGTGCATCTGTGTATTGCAAGTGTCCACCTATACATGTGTATGCATACCCATATGCACAGCTACGTGTGTATGTGTGTGTCGCCTTGCCCAGCCCCACCAGGACACACCTGGGCAGGGTGCAGGGAAGCTCAGGCAGCAGCTCCCCCAGGGCCCAATATTTGGAGCCGGGGCGGACGGCGCGGCTCTGCCCGCGGGCTGGTCTCACCGCCCGGGCCAGGGGCGGAGCTGAGGGAGGAGGGGTGGGGTCACGTGATCTCGCAGGGGCGGGGCCGAGACCCGCGATGGGGAGGGGCTGGCTCTGCCCCGCCCAGCCCCGAGCTAGCGCCAGCCAACGACGCCTCAGGGGGAAGCGGTGGGCGGAGACAGATCGGCTCATCAGATCTGGCCAATCAGAAGCCGCCGCTGCCCCTTTAAGCATCTGCATCACCCAGCGCGTGGCGATGTTTTTGAGTCGAGCGGAGCAAGGAGTTGTGCGCATGCGCTTGCGCCAGCGGGGCGGGAGCCAATGAGGTAGTGGAAGGAAACTGCGGGGCCGCACGTCCGCTTATGCGGGGCCGCACGTCCGCTTAGCGTCTGGCGGCGGCGCAGCCAATCAACAGCCGCGCTGAGGGGCGATCGGAAGCGCTCGGCCGCGGTCCGAGCGAAGCGGGTCGAGGCCGGCGGGGATGGTTGGCCGGGAGAAGGAGCTGAAGATCCGCTTCGTGCCGGGGCGCTGCGAGCTGGTGGAGGTGCGCGGCGGGACGGGGACTACTTAGTCTGCGGGGAAGTTTCCCCGCGGGCCCCTGGGCCGGAGCCGGCGCTGGGCAGCGCCCGGGGACGGAGAGCACCCCCCCCCCCCCGGGGGTGGGGCGGGCAGGGCCCCGGGGCCCCCCCCCCCCCGAGGGTGCGGGCGGCAGGGCCCTGGCTGGAGCCCGGCTTCACCCGCGTGTCGCGGCTCTTGTTCCCTCTCAGCTGCGCGGACACTTGACGTCTGGCGGCTCCGCTCGTGTCTGCGGCCGTGTCGGCCCGTGGGCGCTTCACCCAGCGCACCGGGGTTGTCTGAACTCGTGCTCGCTCCCCCGAGGGTGAGGAGCAGCTGAGCAATTTTGCCCCTCCTCCACCCGGCCCTGCTGGGTAGCGGCCCTGGCGAGATCTCTTCCTTGGGTCTGACTTCACTGAGTATTTTGGACCTCGCTGTGTGCTTATCTGCTCCAGTTTCAAGGCTTTGCAAAAGCACAGTGCTCTCCGTGCAGGCCTCTTCCCAGCTTTAAAAGTCCACCTAGGCCTGTGTGACTGTCTTATACTGAAGATGTGGGTGTTTTTTTCCTTGTTGATTCAGCATAAACTGACTTGGTTTGTGTTAGTTTTGCTGCAGGGCTTGCATTATACGTTACAGGGGGACCTGTCTTTAAATTCTGCATAGTACTGGCATGCTGAGTAGATATGTTCTTGGATCTTTCTAAATAAATGTGGTCAAAACTCCCTTCAGTTTGTGTTTAGACACATTCATAGAGTCATAGAAAAGTAGGGGTGGAAGGGACGGAGGTCGCGTAGTTCAACCCCCTGCTCAAAGCAGGGCCATCGCTAGATCATCCCAGCCAAAGCTTTGTCTAGCTGAGTTTTGAAAACCTCCGAAGACGGATGTCACCACCTCTGGGTAATCTGTTCCAGTGTTTTACTACCCTCCTAGTGAGAAAGTTCATCCTAATATCCAACCTAAACTTCCTATTATTTGTTCAGTCTTTCACCAGGATTCATGTCTGACAGCCTTCTCATGATTGGTTCTTCTCTTAAGTTCATCTCTGAATTTCTGGTAACTTGCTGTTTTTGAGTCGAAGAGCTGAATAACACTTTGTATCAATAGTCTTGAATGACTTCCTTGTTCTGAGACATCAAAGTACAATGTAGCACCAGCCTTTTCCCACCCTACTATATGGTAAATGCACATCTAATTGCTGTATGTTATCAGTGCCAAGTCAGATTAATATCGAAACTTTATAGGGTTCAAATGTTCATCTGATTTTAGCTTGGCTCATGCTGTCAAATTCTTTGTTCTTATTTGGTCTAGATAGTTGGATTGAATCTAGGTAAACATTTCTGTTTTAGTTTTAACCTTGAAATGTGCTATCTCTCATCTTTGAAAAAACATGATTCTACTTATTTTGCATTCAAGTGATATCTAAAGAAAGTAGTGTTATGTCTCCTTTTGTTTCTCAGGGTTTTTAGTATCCTTATTTGTTCACTCTTCTAATCGAAGAGAAGCCTCTGATTTAAAGGAGTTTTTTGGTGGTGGGGGGGGGGCGGTTAAGTTTGGGCTTCTAAACATCTTTTTTTTTTTCTTTCTTTTTCTTTTATCCTTAGTGAGCATTGAACTTCTGGCAGAATGAATCCTATCTTCATCTAACAGCCTGAGCAATTTGTATTTTTTTTAAATTAGTTGGTAATGGAACTTCTTAATAACTTCAGGTTCATGTGTTCAAATGCAACTGACTGACTTCTGAATTGTGAAGCACATCTAGAGTTCCTGGCAGTAGTGAAGCTGATTTTCATACCAACTTGGTCTTCGGGTGTCGCAGCATGTAAGCTTTAGAATATGTGCATGCTGTCTTATGTTGCATCATACAGAGAAAAACTCCCTTCCTGTAAGACTTCAGAATGACAGAGATCTGTGAATACCCCCAAAGCTAGAAAAATGCATGGCCAAGTAGGATTTGTTTCTTGAAGAACAGGGGAAGTGGAACACGCAACATTTGCGGAGACCACGCCATAAACATAGCAGCTGTAGTAAGTTTCTAAAGAAATGGAAAAATTGATGAGTTGTATTAATTCTGTTACTCTAGAGAATGCTCTAGAAAGTAGTTATGCTGCTGCTGATGGGCACAAAGCCATGTATAGCAGCAGCTCCAGCAGTTTTAAAAAGCAGTCATTGCATCTGGTTGGCATTCTATGTATGTAGAAAAATAAGGTAACTGTTATTGTGGGAGAGGCCATTATTAGCTTATATTTTTTTTAAACTTTACTGTGATTTTTTGTTTTGAATCAATAGGAAATGGCTATTGCCCTTCCTAGTTACAAAGTTGCTTAGTCATTTGTGTCAGAAAGACCAAGAGAGAATAAATTGCTCTTTCTGTTAAATTTTAATTTTGTTGAGGTTTCACCTTATTTTTATGGTAATGTGTTTTCAATTTCCAAGTCAAATTTAAATTGAAACTCAGTATTTGATTTGTAAATCCAGAGTGCTTCTTTGAACATCATCCAGTTGTCTCACTGAATTTGAGGATACCAAACTATAATTGGACTGGTTGCAAACCGTATTATTTAGGAGGTTGCCTATCACCTAAGTTTCTTGTGAACTTTTTGAAAAGCACTCAACTTGGTTTATTGTAGCAGGCATCTGGTATTTGACGGAGAATCCCCTTCTGGGTACAGAAATGCCTCTACTTAGCCATATGAAACTCTGATTGGAACTTCTGAGAGTGAGCCTGGTAAAAATTGCTGTTTCTATTTATTCACTTCAGTTCTTCACCAAAAAATTGGCAGCTTGATGCATAGTAAGTGACCTCGATATCTGAGGCCAAGTGGAACAGAATGATGCCAAAATAGGACTAATAGTATGGAACAGCTCTATTATGAGGAACCCAGACTGGGCTTCATCCCTAACGACCAAGAATTTAACCCATTTTTGAAACAGGAGAACATAGAGCAAGAGCCTCATATGTCTCTGGGTTGACAGTGGAGGAGACCGATTGATAGGCTGCTGCTTAGATGTCTGCTTCCCACGCTCTGCTGCCCATTTCTTTTAAGATATTTAGATCTTGCTGCCATCAGATATAGTAGTTAGTGGTAGCAGAGTTTAGGATTCATTTAATACTGATGGTGATGCTTGAAGGAAGTTATTAGGGTTGCCTATCAATTTTCTTTTTCATCATTTTTCCTTAAAAAAATAATAGATCCTCAGAAGTTGTCTATCCAAATACTTTAAAGGACATTTCTTGGGTTGTAAAGTTCTATATTCTAACAGTAGGAAATTCCAGAGTTACAATGTCTTGTGCAACCCAAATTCTGCCCACTTTTGTGTATACGTCACAATGGAATCTCTTCACACCACTCCTTCCATTGGACCTCAGTCCTGTTTGGTGTTCAGTTTGGAAACAGAAAACTGAGGCTACAACTTTAATCTTGGGTTCTGTAACCTTAGTGCTTGACATGAGAGAATGGTTTCTATGTCATTAATCGTACATAATTTTACGTAAACTTGTCTGTAGATAATCTTCTCAAGCATTGAAGTAAATTGTGCCCAAACTGAGATTTAGCATTCCATGTAGGCAACTAGAGTCTTATATGGTTGACTAGGCTGAATAACTATTCTTTTTTTTTCTAGTGCGTTTTGCAACTTGTAATGTTGGGCAGATACTTGTTTAAAACAATAACCTTTTAAGTACAAGAACCATGCAGAGTCCTTTCATAGTCACTGGAAGCCTTTATGGATTCTGAGGCAGCCGATGAGCTCATTTTAGGATTTGACCCTAAGCCTTAATCTATACCATGTAGTTGCTGCCGTTACATCTACCACAGCAGAGGCTGGGTATTGATGCAGCTGAGGTGACAGGAGTCTTTCTGTCCCCAAAGTTAGAGAAGAAACTTTGAGCAAAAACTTTGAGCAGAAAGGTCAAATGGAAGAGCTCAGTGTTTTGCCAGCACACTTGAGTTAGGTGCAAGGTGTGGTTTTTTTACACTTCTACCCAATATAGCTCTGCTTGTAGAACTTTGAAATGTAGACAGTATTTTAGTTCACAGTTACTTCAATAGAACACCAAGGGCTGCATCTTCAAAAGGATCCCTCACTCATCCATACCCGTTGAACAGTTGGAGCTACTAATTCTGAATTGTTTATGAATCTCCATCCATAGTGTTTTATTTCTGTTACTTTCTACTCACTTCTGGAAACTTATGCAAGTTTCCTGTTTGAGTTTGGTATTTCCGATCTTTGAATGATGATACAGTAAAAGCTTTTATCTGGCATCCCCGGGGAATGGGGGATGCCAGATAACAAAATATGCCGGTTAATTGAGTGTCCTGAACAGGTGTCGCTGCCCCTCCTGCAGGCCCCACGGGACAGGGAGGCGGGCCCCATGCACCCTGTTATGTCCCCGGGCCGGGGGCTCAGAGAAACCGGAAGTACTGCAGTGGGCACTTTGGGTTTCACTTCACCTTACAAGCTGGCATGCCAGTTAATAGAGCATGCCGGCTTGTAAGGTGCCAGTTAATGGAACTTTTACTGTATATGGAACAGCATTTTAGTTCCGAATATTTTTAAAATGTCCATGTTGCCAAAGTTTGCAGATCTTTATCTGTCACTTGATACATAAACTTTTGAAAATAACCCGGATAGATAGCATAGATGTTTGTAAAGATTAATATAGTAGTACTGATTGTGATTACGTGCAAATATTTCTTTTTTAAAAGATGGATAGAAAGAGGCAAAATTAAATGTTCATTCTTTATTTCCCTAGGAGGATGTTGACATTCCCAATAGGCGTGTTCTGATTACGGGTGCTACTGGACTTCTCGGCAGAGCTGTGTATAAAGAGTTTAATGAAAACAGCTGGCATGCAGTTGGTTGTGGATACAGAAGAGCTCGGCCCAAGTTTGAACAGGTTAATCTTCTGGACTCTGATGCAGTTCATGTCATCATCCAGGATTTTCAGGTGAGTGCGCGTCCCAGAAGAAGCAGTAGATGTAGTGCTGTGTCACCATATGTATCCTTTAGCAATTAAATTAGCTTTCTGGGTGCTTTTGTATGTGGTGTTTGGCTTCCATGATGCACAAAGCCCTTCTCTGACAGAGCTTTGGAAGATAGTGTAGTTTCTTCTCTGCTTCAACTGGTAGGGTACTCTTTGTATGCATATGTGTATGTTCTCATAATAGTTATAGCATACAGTAGTTAACAGCAGGTTTTTTCTAATATATAAGTTTATAAAGAAAATGGATAACAAGTTAATACACATGGAGACAATGAGCATGGCACACTAGTGGTACCAATAGCCAGTTGTTCCCTGCTGATCTTTGGGATTGCAGTGGGGCATAAGGAAGTAGGTAGTCCCTTGGGTACGTAGGACCCAGACTATTTAGGGCCTTGTACATCAAAACTGGTACTTTTGAATTGTTCATGTAAAGGTACTAGGAGTCAGTAGAGACTGGAACATGAGTTAATGTGCTCCTGGTGACCCACCCTCACCCTGTCGCATTCTTCACCAGTTGCAGTTTTCAGGCAATCATTTTGAGGGCAGCCCTATGTAGAGTACTTTGCAAATAGTCTGGCCTTGACTTTACAAAAGCATGGAGGATGCTGGCCAGATCTGAGTCTGAAAGAGGTTCACAGTCTTATCACCAGGTGGAATTGGTAAAAGGCACTCCTAGATGCTGCCAGAACCACCTGAAGGTCCAAATCCTACAGAGGATCCAGTATCGGCCTAAGGCTGCAAACCAGAGTGAGAAGAGAGTGAATGTCATCAATAAGTGTCCCAAAGCCCACCCTAGGCAAGTAGTCTGCTCACCATCATAACCACAGAAGTTGTCTGGATTCAGCTTCAATTGGTTCACTTGTATCTAGTCCTCAACTGCCACCAGGTATTGGAGAGGAACTGAGAATGTAGGGTGCGAGTCAGGTGTCTCGGTATACTGATGGCACCTTGTTCCAAGTCCTTTGCGTGATGTTTCCTGGCAGCCTCATATACAGCAAACAGGAGGGGATAGCTTGCATCAGAATGACTGAATAACCAATAATAGAATAACAAGAATAACTCTCTGTCAAAAAATATATTGTATATAATCCTTATTTCTTTCACTGTAGAAATATTGTTGTTTCAAGACAGTGTTTCTCAACCTAGCCTCCAAAGAATACTGTACTTACTCAAATCTAAGACTAGGGTTGTTCCCCTCCCCCCCTTCCCAATATGTGGAGAGGGGACTGGGTGGGGGAGGAGGAGGAGGAGGCAGGCTTCCCCTGGATTTGAGCATCAGCCCAGGGCAGGTGGTGGCTTAGCTCTGGCTTTAATCTTAGGACCCCTCACCCACTGCCACTGCTTTCTCTGCCACAGCAGTCGGAGGGACAAATTTTAAGACAACCTTCTGTCTCTAGTGGGTTATGGAATAGAGAAGATCCCACACAATTTACTGATTCGTTTTGATGCACTGGCTGGGGGAGTAGTTAGTTGATTGCACGATTTCACAATGATTACACTCTTAATTCATATAACACAATTTTATTTTAAAATTCTTTGCTACGCATATAAAACTGCTTAGCTTTAAGAAATACCACAAACATTAAGAACACAATAATTACATATATCAGAAACAATGCTCCGAATGCACTTCCTTCCCAAACAATGCTATAAGAATTAGTATTACAAAACAACTACAATTACAACTAAAAGTTAAATTTGAATCAATACTATTATTTTTCATAATATACTTACAATCCTAGAATTCTGAGAAGCCAAACACCTAAATATGGTTTCATTCCTCAGTAGTACAATTTAATGGGTTGGCCTCAGTAGTACGGTTCAATGGGCTCGCCTCAGCAATACGATTCAATGGGCTGGCCTCAGCAGTGATAGGACTAAGTCCCCTTCCTTCAGTCCCTTTCGGGCGCTCTGCAGCTTCAGTGTGAACTAAGAGATTCGTGTTCACGGAGAGGGCGGTTCAGGAGATCAGTCTGATCCGGCCTACACTTGCGATTCTTCGTTGTTCTGCAAGTGAGTTTACCTCCAAATTGGGACAGTAGGTTACAGTTTTTATTGAGTGAGTTGCCGTCCTGGGCCCCTCCTACCCAAACCTGTCACTACTCCCAAATTTGGACTCGGATCTTACTTAACAGATTCTTTTGCTTGGTAATCAGTTTCTTTCTTGACCATTCTAATTACTTTGGGGAATTTCCATATCACTGAATTGATTTATTTCCAATCTTGTCAAAAGGCCCTAGGGTTTGATCTCTCGGAATTTGGGATATTTGCTTAAGGGTCATTTTTAGGTTCTCTTTGTTAAAGGTCTCTAAAGATAAAATTCAAGAGTTAAGACTTTGAGCAAAGTCAGGACCTTCCGCACGTAGACCAAAACAATGGCCTAGATAAGGAGATAAATCTTGTCTTCTTCCTGAAACTGGCTAATGGGCAACTATTACAAACATTAAAACTATTTCATTTAATATGACACCTTCCACTAATTAGATTCTGTAAATGGAAACTTATAACTAATTTTATAATTTTTCCAAGTACAGAATCAAATTATTGGAGGGGGGAAGGGGAGAGATATCATGGTCAGTTAGAAGTTGTTTAGGATTCAGGTAAATCTGGTAAATATTTTAAAGCTAACACTAGAATAAGTGACGTAGTGTAGAAAATTATTTTAAAGCTTTCGTGCTTGATCTGCAAAGTAGACCAGTTATACACAAATGATTTGCATTAATAGCTTTTAAAGAATATTATTTAACGTTCTGTTGTTAACACATACTTGTCTACACAAGTAGATGACAGGATGTTGAATCCCATATTCTATATCTTTTTAATGCTGTGATAAGAACAAAATAGCTTGCTGTGAGCAAATTTTATTTGTGGTCATGACGGGAAAAAAAAAAATCAAGGAATATTAAAAGATCTTCTTGTTACAAAATTTAGAAACAACTGAATTCTCTATCACTGTTTTTGGAAAGTAAGCTCTTCAAGATTTCTTAATAAAATATTTTGGTTGTTATAGGTCACTGTCATAACCAAATGAAGATGTAATTTACCCTTTCTGAGATAAAGAACCTTGTTCTTGTGGGTAGGGCAATTGCCATTTTTCAGTTCTGTTCCTCACTAAAAATGAGTCTTTAATTTCCAGCCTCATGTGATAGTGCATTGTGCTGCTGAGAGAAGGCCAGATGTTGTAGAAAGTCAACCAGATGCTGCTTCTCAGATCAATGTGTCTGCTGCAGGGAACTTGGCGAAAGAAGCAGGTAAAGAGACACTGATATGGATTCATTTTTTTTTTCCCCTCAGAATTCTGCATTATTTTATACAGTGACACAAGTCTAAATAACACTTAACGTTCAAGCTCCATTTCTGCTTTTACATGCTTGCAATCCAGCCCAGAAACTTTGTGCGTACATTAGTGAAGTGATAAAATGAGGGACCGAATGAGGAATTTGAATCAACATAAGTGTCTTTCTATTTATGGTTGACTTCCCAAAATAATACAGTATTAAATATTTTAAAGTACAGAAAAATATTGGTAGTACAAGTAGCAATTTTCACCCATTAACTGAAACTGTAGAACTAATTTCTTTCTATCTTCTCTCATTCCCATCCCAGTTGGAGTTGGAGCCTTTCTGATCTATATTAGCACAGACTATGTGTTTGATGGAACAAATCCACCTTATAAAGAGAATGATGTTCCAAATCCCCTGAATCTATATGGTAAAACTAAATTAGAGGGAGAAAAGGCAGTCCTAGAAAATAATGAAGGTAAGAATATAATTTTAGAGGTGTTTTCTCTCATTATATTACATATGAGCTAATTGATCATACAAGAGGAATACAGTTGCAGAAACATAAAATCTAGGTTTGAGGAAAATTTAAGAATGTCTAATGTATCTTTCTGCCCACGCAGAACCATTCCATTTTTCCCTGCAGATTGAATGTAGTATGTTGTGAATGAGTATATTAACTTCCCATGCTGCTCTTCTATACTGACAGAGATTTTTTTTTTAACCAGGGTTGTTCATTTTTTAAACGTTCCCCAAGTAAGAAAGATGGTGCCCAGCTGGTAACTGCACAGAAGTAGTGAAAATACCTTTTTACACTAAGTGTAGCATTTTGTTTTGCTAGTCAGGAAATTGATGCTCTATTTGGATTTGTTATTTAAGTAGCTTAATGCACAGTTATTTGATTCTTAACTTTTACATGCATTATTTTGAGTTATAGAAAATGGTGGATGATGGTATGTGGTTTAAACTTTTTACTAGTTTTTATATTCAAGTCCTTTTTGGATTGAAACGAAGTCAGTTAATTTGTTGTATATTTTCAGTTAAATATATACTTTAGGTAAAGTCATTAATAAACATATGGTTGCATTTAAACCAATCTGTTTAAAAAAGGAGGTATGTGCAATGAGGAAATTGACTTTTTTTCCCCCTTTTAGCATCTTGCTTGATGTTTTAGAACTGGTAGATCTTATAATCAATTTTTTTTTTGCTTGTAAAAAGAAAATAAGCTTTCCTGCTTTTTGAGGAAAGCTGAATAAAGAAAATAGCTTTGCCACCCACAAGAAGCTATTACTATCAGAAGATGGTTCGGCAGGTCAGCAAATTATTCTACCAGTTCAGTGCCTTGATTTTCTTTTAAACTTGGGTAGTACACATACTCACCTTTTTAATAATCTATTCAAATATTATATTAGGTTTTAACATCAGTTTCTCAACTTTATTTTTTTAAGCAATGTAAACGGTTTTATTTCTTCTTTCATTTAAATGAATGTTTATTTCAACATTTGTTTTTTACCCATCTTATTCATAACGTTGCCCAATTCAGAGTGCTCTCAGAATTTCATTAAGATGCTGTTTGCTCCCTTTTCTAGACTGGTAATGAAGATAAGACCAAACCAAACTCGGGTACATGTGGTATATTGCAAGACCCCTTCTTCAACTAAACTTGGCTTTGGTTTTGTAACTTTTTGGTTATGGTCTTTCAGTCAATGATCACCAGCCTTTAATGTCATTAAAATTGACACTGCATTCAAGAATGGTATTTTAAAACATGCAACAATCAATCACTAAATACATTTCAAGTATGTAGATCACCCTTTCAGTCACTAACTTAGTGATCCTATAATAAAAGACATCAATCAAGCTTCCCTGAAAAAATCTTCTTTAAGCAATAACATCGCTTATTGCAAATGGTGCTATTAACTACTAGCTTGCTGGCAATGTTTACATACCTTTTCACTTTCATTTAGGAGGGATACTAGACCTACCAAGATGTGTTGGGGTTTTTTTTTCCTTGTTGTATTTATTTATTTAATTATTGTTAAATGTATAATCTTCAGTCTTCCTGTCCTGCCACAGCCTTTGAAAGCTTTTAGAAATAAAAAACTGACCCATTCAAAGCAAGTGGTAACTGTCTCAGTACCAAAAGAAACCTAGCTTGGTTCTGGTCTTTGTTTCTTTCACCTCCTGGCCCTTCCCATTTCCCCCAAGAAAACTACTCATGATTTCAAATTTTCCTCGGCTTTAAACTGTGGAAGAGTAGCCTCTCGAATTAAGTTAACTCAGTGTATTTACTAAAATATTTGCTTCCTTCCGTAGTAGTATTTTTTTTTTCTTCCTCTTTCATGGTTCCCTGTGAAAAACAGTTGTTATTCTATTTAGTGCCCATCAAATTTCAGTAAGAAAGTGACTCCCTATTCTCTTTTTCAGTTAAAGCCCCAAAACCTGAAACTCTTTGGATAGTCCTATATAAATAAATATCAGACCTCCTTTTTACCGGGCTTTCGGCTTGCTTTCTGATTTGAGGTATTAGTATACCTATCTCCTATACGCTTGGTTATAACAGCCTTCTACTTAGCTTTGCTGGATGATTTTTAATTCTTTAGGTGTACTTACTGGAAAGTAATGTCTTTTAAAAATATATGAAATAAGTGCACAAAATGTAGAAATTAAGTTAGAAATAACTTGTCAGGGTTGTTTCTCTCTTTTTTGGGCAAGTAAGCAGCACATCCTGAATGCTACTCCTGTATAAGGGCTCCTTGCAGTTTTGATGTTGTTTGTTTGAGGAATTGCTTCGAATGTGTGCTTATACTTGTTACCGGTATCTTCAATCAGTATTTTTGTGGTTCCAAATAGAAGCTAGTCTAAGAATCTTTTTTTTTTCCCCTCAGTCTTATCCTGAGGAAGTTGAGATGTTCTCTGGAAGGTCTGCCTATTTTATTTTATTTATTTATTTGTAAGCAATTTTAGCTCTTGGTTCATCTTATCAAATTAATATTCTCTGTTTATAAATGTCCTGGATAAATATTTCAACAATATAAATAACAATGAATGTAAATTTGGTATAACCTTAACCAGTGCTAATTTACTGAATACAAAATTCTCACTTTTACATGAATTCTTAATATTTCAAAATTGATCAGCTGACACGGTAACAAACTTGCAAAGATGCATGGTTAATACAATCACTTTCTTTTGAGTTTTATATTGATATGATATTTACCATACTCTTTAAAACACTTGTTAATTTTTCTTGGATAATTCTTCTAAATTTTCTTCAGGTTGCTTTCAAGACATTGGTTACTTGAGTGTTTTTAAATTGTTTTTTACATTTCCTTAAGATTTTTTTTTTTCTTTCCCCCTTTAGGTGCTGCGGTGCTTAGAATTCCTATTTTATACGGAGAGGTAGAGAGGCTGGATGAGAGTGCCGTGACTATTATATTTGATAAAGTGCAGTATAGTAATAAATCGGCCAATATGGACCATTGGCAACAGAGATTTCCCACTAACGTCAAGGATGTAGCCAGTGTTTGCCGACAGCTAGCAGAGAAGAGAATGCTGGTGAGAGTTTCAGAAAACGAGCCTCCTTTAAGCTAGTAACAAGGCTGACTAATTTTGTTGGGGGAGGGTTGTTTTTGTTTGTCTGGATTTTTTAATAGCTTCTACCATAATGGGAAGTTAAGTGCTGAAACCAAATCCAAAGTTTCGGTTCTAGATTGTACCCAGGCAATCAAAGTGCATAGTGTAGAAGCAGTATCCAGAGGCTCACTGCGGTGAGGTTAGCAGGGGGTGGAGAGATGTCATGTACCTTTTTTGTCACTTAAGTATGTTCAGCAGCCATTTAAACACCAATTTAATCTTACTTTTTTGCCACTAAAATAACTAAGGTGATAATCACAGTTGTTTTCAGTGCTGCTGCAGTGGCTGCTGTTCTGCCCTCCCCACTGCCAGAGCCAAAGCTGCTGCTGCAAGGGATGGGGAAGTTGATGGCCCTTCCCCCTCACTGGCTGTTCATGACCTACCATGCTTGTTGTGACTCTTAAAGAGAGGACTTAAGGGGCAGGATACATATTTCTTAGAAATTCAAATGACTGCACATCTTTCAGTTTGAAGGGAGAAAATGCAAGTAACTTCATCATACAGTAAGCATCTCTTATTAGACAGATTATTAAAATATATATATAGATAATTCAAAACACGTGGATTAGACTTTGTGATAAATGTGTAATTCTTTAAGATGCCTGTGATGCTGAGCACAGTGTAGAAATGTAGAAGCAACAGTAAGATTGAGAGGTAGAGCTTTGTAACAAACCAAACACTTCAGTCTTGCCTAAAATAGGTACTCCCTCTGTTCCAAGCTTTCATGCACAAAACTAATAGTACTGAACCTCCCCAGATGCACAAGCACCTGCCAGCTCATGTATTGGCATGAGCAGAAGATATTGGGTGAGTAATTTGGCACTGATCACGCCCCACATTTATCCATCTGAGAAGCCCATATAGCAAACAAGATGTCTGGGGAACTGTATCCTAGTAGGATTCCAAATATATTGGCCCTGGAATGCATTATAGGGCTTAAAATTGTCCCCAGAAATGTGTATTTGAAGATAAGAAATTTTGCTCTGTTGATCCTAGTCTTTAAGGGGTTAGTTGGTCAGTCAACATGCAGGCACAACCTTTGTGCAGAATGTAGGAATCTTCTCAAGTCTTGCATGCCTGCTTGGTTAGTTTCTTCATAAGAAACTTTTTTTTCAAACCTGGCAGAAGTGTAGTTTCTCTGAGGTGTCCTTTTGTAGGCCTATGCACCTGCTTTTAACATTCAACTATTTCTAATTATCTCAGTCCCCTCGGTAGGAAATACTCAGCATCTCGAAAGTCGGGTCCAAATGTGTAGTGTTGGGACTTAGCCTATCCTACTGACAGATTTAGAAGGACCACATCAGTTCCCAGGATGTTGGTTTTTGTTCAGTCCCTAGGTGGGTCCTGGCTCTGTAATAGTCACTCCAGAACTATATCAGTAAGTTATTATAACTTGTTTTTCAGTTTAGCATCATTGGAAATGTCAACCTATATACTTTTTGTCTCTATTCCTGAATTTTCTTTTGAAAAAGTTACTTCCGTAAGTGTGCCTCATTCCTCGTGATTTGTTTTTATTTCCTAGGATCCTTCAGTAAAAGGAACATTCCACTGGTCTGGTAATGAACAGATGACCAAGTATGAAATGGCATGTGCTATTGCAGATGCTTTCAATCTTCCTAGCAGTCACTTGAGACCAGTAAGTTCTGTTGTTCAGTCTGTATGGAGGTATAGAAAGTTCTGAATTACTGAAAATTGTTTGTACACTGAATATTCAAGTTAGCTGTCCTAGTTCCACAAAAGCAAGAGTTCCCCAAATTCTCAAGTTATCACTGCCCTTCTAAGGATGTCTGATATATTCTGTCCCATGGAAGTGCTGTCTGCATTCTGACTTCTTACCAAACATGTTTTGTAAAGATAGGGCTGAAGTTGCCTATAAGTACAGTACCTCCAACTGTGCAAGTCTCTGACTGTTAAGAGGCAGCTGCCTATAGCCGAGTCTTCTGGAATTTTAAACAGTAGATAGCTAGCCAACTTCTAATTCAGTTTATAGACTTGATTTGGCATACCTTAGTTTTACGGATTACATGAAATGCTTAGGAGCAGGTCCACTTTGTAATTAATAAACCTCTAACTCATTTTTGCTTGTTGTTTTTCTTTAAAGGTAGCCTACATCTTGAAAACTTTGAAGATATCTTATCTTTGTATTGTCTGCATATTTAAGTTACTGTTTTTGCTTTTCAAAAGGTCTGTTTTTAGAGCTTCAATGTTGAGAATTATCCAGGGGTTTGACGTAGTGGATTTAATTTAAGTGTGCTTCTTTAAACACAAACTTAAACGAAACAATCTTGTTCCTCAAAGTTCTAAGGAAAAGTTGGGAAGTATCATGCCTAGACTTGTCTACAAATGTACTGATACATAATTTAATAATTCGGCATGTAAGTTCTGAGGTTGTATTGGAAGTGCTAGACTAAGTTAAGTACAAATCCACTTCCCAAGTTCAGGGATTTGGTGTTAATAAAACTAAGGTTGAACTGTTAAACATACAATACTAGGTTGGTCTGAGAGTTTTTTTTTTTTTTTGTTTTTTTTTCCAAATTGCTTCCCCTCAAGAACTGTAATGGCTAGAGCAGGTTCTGCCACCTTTAATAAAAAAAAAAAAAAAAAAAAAAAAGAGTATTTTTCACTTCTAAATAGATACTCTTTGTCGTATGTCCACAACTCCTGATTTCCTGATCACTGTTTAGAAGAAAATATAGAGTAGTAGAGGGTTTGATTTTTAAATCAGCAGTAAATAATTATTAATTTAGTGTAGGAGTGTAAAACTCATCTGGCCCTTTGAGCTGGATGAAGGGCACAGGGCAGCCTGGGCTCAACAGCCCAGTCCCACACACTGGAGCCAGGTCTGGCATGTATACCCTCATGTAGTTTACAGTACACCCCAGACCAGCCTTGCATGCAGTGCGCTCTGGCCCCAGTTCAGGACTCATGCAAGGAGCTAGAATGAGGTGCACACTGCATGATGTGCTTACACTGGACTGGCTCCATGTATTGGCTGTGGTTCATGGGGCTGGCTCTATGCTGGTCCCCATGCCATGTGCAGTGCATGTAGTTGGTTGAGCCCAGTGCCACACATAACAGGTGCAAGCCTTGTGGGCCCAATCCAGATCAGCACCAAAGCTGGTGCCCCAGGCCAGACTGACATGGACACCATGCGTGCAGTGCACATCTGGAACTTAGCCCCTTATGCTGTGTGCAGTGCTTACAGTGCTGGGTCCAACCCCCCCCCCCCCCCCCCGTTCGCCCCCCCCCCCCCCCCCCCCCCGTGTAGCACATGCCAGACTGGCTATACATACTGCATACAACACATGGGGTTGGGGCTGGTGCCAGGGCCTATATGTGCCACATGCAATCTGTGGTAGGTCCAAGACCCGTGTTACAAATTGTACAGCTCTAAGGGCTGAATTTGGCCTGTGGACCATATCTTTGACACCTTAGATTTAATAGATCATTAAGTACTTGCGCATATGTATCTATCTAGGTGAGTGACAGGCGGAGGCCTTTCCCCCTCAGTTCAAAAAGAGCCATATAAGGTGTATGATAATAAAAGGCCATTCATACAGCCCCATTCCTTGAAGTTTCACAAAATGTAAACATTCTGTTTCCTCTGCACTCATTCTTATAGTATTACACAAGGGGGAAAATGGACTTTAAATTCAGCTGAAGTTGGAGAAACGGGCTGCTTGCAGACATGGGGGGGGAGGAACCAAAAAAACCCACGTTTTGCATTAAATTTGGTGTGCTCCTGCACTGAGCCCAGCACATGCCCAGAAGCAGCAGCAGCACATTACTTGGACACAACTCTGCAGCATCTATATAGATTGGGTGCTTTAGTGGTGTTTTGTTGGCACTTTTATGTAATAGCTGATTGACTCAGCTTTAGATAAAAGTGCCAAAAAAACCTGCTGAAGCACCCAATCTGTACTTTAAGCCAACTCTACAGCGTTTGTAATGCACTGCTTTTTCTGGTAAAATTACCTTTTGCCCCAAGTCTGGAAGCAGCCATGAAATCTGAGGGTATGCCTTTGTTCATTGTTACATAAAGGCCACTGTTTGTATTTTGTAACTGTATCTTGTTTTCCTTTGTTTAAAGATTACTGATAGCCCTGTAGTGGGAGCTCTTCGTCCAAGAAATGCTCGGCTCGACTGTTCCAGGCTAGAGATGCTGGGCATAGGTCAAAGGACGCCATTTCGAGTTGGGATCAAAGAATCACTTTGGCCTTTTCTGGTTGACAAGAGATGGAGACAGACAGTCTTCCATTAGTTTGTACCTTTTTTAGTACAAGTCTGGTATGTGGCACTTTTTTAAAAAGGAAAATTTAAAGAATAGTTTTGTATGAGTGTTCTTAAAAATTGTGACATTTATGAGATTTCATTTAATCAGGTAAAAAAAAAAATATGGTCTTGCACTAGTGGAATTGTTAGCCTATAATAGCTCTGGCAAAAGATGAACCTTGTTTTAAAGAAATTAGTCTTTTCCTCTCTGTCGTGCTAGTCTAACCTAATATCTGATGCTAAACATGGTCATCAGTAACATTTGGAACCAAGAATAAAACAGATCAGTTGTAAGTTTCCTTTTTGCTGAAATACACTGACCCTAGGGTTCACACCATTGGGGGGGCGGGGTGTACGTACGTACAGCATCCCCATTGAAGGCTATAGTCAGCATCTTTATTGTCAAAAAAGACTCAGTATTTTAATTTTAAAATTGTTATTCTAATGTGAGTTAAAATGAAGTGAGAATCATTCAAGTTTTAATGTTTGCTTTGCTTCAGCTTTGATCAAAATGTTTAAAAAAAGTGAAACTTTATTTTTGCAGTTACTTAGTGCAATTTTTATGCTTGAGATTTATATTTTCACAATGTTTCAGGCTTTGGGACTCCTGCCGCTACATATATTTGTACAAAACATTGTCTGCATTTGTCATTTTAAAGATAATCTGTGAAGGGGAGGGGATTGAGTTGTGCCCTCCTTTGCTTTCTATTGTGTAAAGGCTCAAAGTGTGTTCATTTTTCCTGCTTCATTCTCTTACTGTGTTTGTAATGTTGAAATTTAAAATCCTGTCTAGGCTGGAAGACTTATAGGAGAATTGTTGAAAGGAGGTCATTATAAGTCAAAGTGAAATAGCAAATGAGAGGGGAAGGTATTTCAAGAAGTTTGTCTACAGCTCTGTGGCTTGACTTGTTTAAACACCCGATACAAGTACATCACACTGGTGTAATAACTACATTAAAAAGGTTTGCATAAGTCCTGAAAAGTAAACAAGTCCAGACTTTGTATGACTTCAGCATCCAGAAAACAAGTTGGAGAGGGAACTTCCATACCTAAAGATTTGAAACTGTTGGAGCTCTTGGGGGGAAAAATATTTGGAAATCAGCTGCAGCTTCTTCAGAGAGAGCCTGGAAAACTACTTTAGATAGTTTTGACAATTCTGAGGTAAAATCAAGTAGAAAAACTGGAATACATTCAGCCTTTAGGAATCAGAAAAATGAGCTGAAGTCGACTATTTTAACGGTCAGCTTTAAATTGTATCCCTTTAATTCAAAGTGGTGTGTCATAAGAATTTGTCATAACCTTGTTTGGTATCTGAAATCCTGATTTATGCACACAGTAAATTATCTCCAAAGTATAATAAATATAAAGCTGGAACTGGCATCAGTGTTGATCTTTTTTTATAATTTGCCTCTAGTACTTTTGTGATTGCACAAAACAGTACAATTTGGTTGCAGTTCTTAAAATGCTCATGTGTTTTGGGAACAACAGTTGTGAAACGAGTTGTACTGCAAGTACATTTTAGCTGTTCACTTATGGATTAGATCAGTATTACTTAGTTGGTGAGTCATAGCCCCCAGAGTCATCAGAAAAAATAAGCAAATGGAAGCTGTCTAAACTAAAGAAAACATCTTGTCCTGCTTTGCATATCTCTAACCTTGAAGGTCAAGCTTTCCATCAACCTCTGCATGTGCACACACTCGCCACACCTGTCATAGATGTACATTTTTCTTTTGGTTGGGGTGGGAAATTTTTGTTACAAATGCCCTCATTAACAGATGGTTTGTGAGACCTGAGTTCAACCATAGGCTTCTCGTTCAATCCTATATACTATTTTGACATAACACTTGAAGAAGAAAATATTTTATGATAAAAAAAACTTGATACATTGAGTTAAAATAATATTGTTTGTACTCAACCCAGGAAGTCATTAGGAGTATTTAGGAGATGGTATGCTCTTATTGGTATTCATGGTTCTGACACTGGCTTGTGGTGTAACCTTCACACAGTTACCAGGAGCTAGATCCACAAAGGACTTGGACACTGCACCATTTAAAATTGCAGTGGTCACCTTTTTTTAGGCACCTCACTGGCAGGTGCCAATCCACAGTTCTGAGTTAGCTGTTTTGACTCCCTAGACAACACAGATGGAGTTAGGCACTTACGAATACTATTAGCGGGAGCCTAACACTCTCATGAGGACTTGCCTTCCAGGCTCTGTTCCACTGAGCATGTATAAGTCAAAGATGTCATTGGAGAGCTGGGTTCCACTTCCTGCTTCCTGTGTTTACCCACCACTCAATCTCTATGGTAGGCTTGCAGTCTTTGACTCAATGCGTGTCTGATTATTCTGGGCCAAATAGAACAGCTTCAGTGGGAAAGAATAAAAACACCCAATCCCAGAAAAACCTACTTCTCTGTAACCTAGTGGTCTGTGTTAAAGTTCAGAAAAACTGAATTGGAGTTGTCTCCATTCTACACACAGGCTCTGAACAGCGAGGTGTAAGATGTTCTCCCTTCTGTTCCCCTTCTCTCTTCCAACTTGCACCTAATTTAGTGTGGGTCAGCAGTATGACCAGGGATCCAGGTTTTCAGTTTCCCACGGAAAAACAGAAAACTATGGATTACCCCCTTTTTTGCAGAGAGCTCTGCAGACTGGCAGAATGAGTTCTAGCCTACAAGAGCTGTTTGCAAAAGGGGCGGGAAACCCCGAACCCTGCCCAGAGGGGAAAGGAGAGGGGGAAGGGTGGGGCCCGACACTGGCACTTACCAGAGGCTGCTTCAGGATCACTCTTCTTGCTGGAGGTAAGTGGAGCTTGGGGGTTGTGGGGCAGAGCTGGGGGGGGAAGCTGGCCAGGAGCTGAGGGAGCGGGGAGGTTTGCAGCCAGCTGGGCACTGGCTGAGAACGGGTAGGCTGCAAAACCCTCCCAGCAGGAGTGCCTGGCTGGCTTCAAACCTCCCCGCTTCCTCAGCCCCCAGGTTCCTCAGCCCCCAGCTTGGGCACTCTCTGGCTGGGAGTGGGGGGTTTGCAGCTGGCCAGGCACTGCAGCTGGGAGTGGGGACACTGCAGACCCTCCCTCCCCCAGCTGGAGTGCTCAGCTAGCTGCAAACCCTGGGTCGCAAATGCTGTGCTCCCCACCGTGCTGCCCTTCAGGCCCTCCAGAGCACAGCGTGTGTGACTGGCACAGCAGGGCCATGCACAAAAGCTGCCTGCCACTGAAGGCTCTGCACTGCCCTGGCCCCATTTCCTCTGCATGCATGGGGGCAGTGCACACCCACCCTGCCCACACCCCCACACATCTGGGGGGCACAGGTCCCCCGTGCTCCCTGGGACTGTATGTTGCCACTGGGAGCCAGCCCCACTTGAGCCTGCAGCAGACTGTCAGCAGCGGCGGGGAGCCAGCTCATGCTCCTGCTGCAGCAACCAGGGCTGTGGACCTGGGTCCCTGACCCTGTAGCCCTGGCAGCTGGGGGCCCCCTCCAGCAGGGCTGGGGGGCACAGGATGTGGGAAGGGACCACAAGCAGGGCTGTGGGGTGGGAGTGAGAGACATCAACAGGACTAGGGGGTGGCATTTAAAAATCCCCAAATCTGTGGTTACAATGATCAGAGACTTTGTGATTTTTGTTTTGTTTCTTTATCACCGAAAACCAGGATCCCTGGTTATGACTGGTAGCAGGATGCCCACCAGAGTGACCTAACAGGCCATGTAGGCAGGGGAACCTTGATGGAACTTGGGCATGAATTGGGTGCTAAGGTGCTTACCATGTTTAAGACTGAGGCACCTGCTAGGCACGTGCAGTAAAAAGTTGTTTGGGTGCTTGGGTAGTTTTTCGGAACTTAGGTGCCTCTGAGTAGGCTGTAGTCAGGCAGGGATTTTGAGAATCTAAGTCCCTCTTCCAGGATCTAGTTTTTAACCTCTGTCTCGGTTTCCCTACTTATGTTAAGTCACCTTGCAATCTGACTGAAAGCTGCTGTGTAGCCAAGCTATGTAAGAAGGTGTGTGTGTAAGAATTTAACTCTGATAGACCCAGATTTGTTTACATTAAAATAAAAAAAATACAATTCCAAAATATCCTCACTTTCCCAATATAGTTAAAGACAGTATCCAGCCTTTGCTTCATACATGGCCCTTTTATCCTCATTGTAACATTTGAGGTACCTGCAACTATTTTGCCACATGATCACTCATGTGTTTTCTCTTGTGATATGTAAATAGTCATACATTCATGTAAAGCAGGGGTAGACGATTTATTTTGGCTGGAGGGATGCTTAACAAGTTTTGTTGAGGGCTGCAAGGGTAGCCCTGCCCCTTGACAGGTGCCCTGTTCCCTGCTCACCACCTTGGGACCATAAATCCCACCCCTAACCCCTCACCTTTGCCACCAGAAGTCCTTCCCCTTGCCCTCAGTAGTACTCCTTTTGGGAAGGGTGTTTGCCATCTTGGAACAGGAAAAAAAACAAACAAGTTATATACTAAATATGAAACATTGATAATATAATTTTATTTTTAAAAATATTTTTGTCCTGATTTGTGTGTTTTGTGTGGTGTATGTAGAGGTGATTGTACAATAGCTCAAAATGAAGTCTTACTCTTGTGTATTTGGGGGGTGCTATGGGGTTTTGGGGGGGTTCTAGGAGGGTGTGGTTGGGTATGGAGTTTGGGGAGTCTGGGAGGGTGTGGGTGGCTGGGTTTGGGAGGGACTGGGGGTGTGGGTGGGTGTGTATAGAGTTTGTGGGGGGCGTATGGCTGTGTTTGGTTGTGGGGTATGTGTGAATGTGGGTTGGAATGGGAGGGTTGTGTTGTGGGCTGAATGTGGCCCGTGGGCCATATTTTGCCCACCCTATATAAAGGTTCAAACTATGCTTTTATTCCTCAATGGGATGCATCAAGTCGCAGCGCTGGAGTCTATGGCAAACCTTCATTTGCAATTGTCGGAAGCACTGTGAATGGTATAAGGGGTCGGAGTAGCATTATGGTATGTAGATAAGGAGCAGTAAGGTAGAAGGTAAATGGTAAAGTGTGAAACCAGCATGAGATGAGTGTGACAGCTTTTCTCTGTACACCTGAGGATTTGGATGGAAAATCTCTAGTAAAAATCACCTGTGCCTAATGAGTAGGACTCTTCTTCCCCCAATCTGGACTTTCTGCTAATTATTTGTAAAAGAGTACTTTTATAACTAAAAAATCATATGTCAGAAATTTTGCTCAAACTTTTTTCTATGAAAAAAGCAGCAAGTCAACTCCAGAAAGTAAGTTTCAAAGAAAAAAGGAACAATTGAAAGTGAATTAGAGCAGGAGTGCTTATTCCACTGTTGTTGTAGTACAATAGAACTCGAGTGCTTCAATCACAAAATTGGCCTTACTTGCTTGGTGCACCTAAAATGAGTCAGGCAGGGTGCTGTGGTACCCCAGGTGCCTTGAAATCCTTTCAAGAATGTCATGTATTTCCCTGCACAGTTAGCACTGTTAAGTATGCAAACGTAACTCACAAGATAAACACAGATTTCAGATAGGAAACCATAGTGTTAAAAACATTCTGATTTGCCTGCGTTCTTTGCAGCTGAACAGTTGCTCTATATTACTTTTCCATGGTCAAAAAACAAACTAGTGAAACTAAGAGCTAGCATTATTCATAGTGTGCCTTGAGCCTAGAAAGGTTTAGGTCCAGGACCCTCACCTGTGGTAGGGGAGAAAATGCTTGTGAAATAATGTATGTGGTACTTGCCAAGTTATGTTTGCTCCCTTTAGCCTAGTGATTATCAACCAAGCTCCTGAGATCCCTTCAGAGGTGCTGCAAGATATGTTGTCACAATGGCTAGATAAAAGTACCCTAAGTTGCTGTGGCATGTGTGCTAGGCCTGTGCGAATAGGGAATTATTTGATTCTGCTGATTCGGAGGACAGTGATTCAATTTGGAGATTTGGATCACTGTCCTGAATGAATACGGCCAAATTGGCTTCAGAAGATTCAACGCTGCTTTGGAAAGATTCGGTAATTCGAATCAACTGGGGAGTGGCAGGCACAGCCGGATGGCTACAGGTTGTCCAGCAGCTCCTCCAGCTGTGCCTGCCTCTCCCTGGGTGGGGAGGGGCTGTGGTAGGAGTCCCAATGGCTGCCCTGCCAGGCCCCATGCCCCGCCCGACCCCAGCCTAACAGTAAAAAAAATAAATAAAATAAAATGAAAAAAGAAGCCCTGCACTCACCAGCTGCAGCAGCCTTGGGGCCTCTGAGCGCTTGTGGCAAAGCCCCCCACACAGCACAGGGCACCCCCCCCCCCAACCTGGCACCTGTGCAGCAGCTGCCCCATGGCACACATGCAGCGCGGCTCGGCAGGGCACTGCATGCTCTCTGGGAGTTAGGGCTGCTGGGGCTGAGCGG